AGTTGCAGCTAATTTTTTTTTTTGCGCACTTTTGTTGTTTTTCTATAAACAACTTGATGTTTTGGTCAATATTTAAGAAGTTTTGTCGTTTTGTAATAAAAGACAATAATTTTTATTGGAATTAAATGTTGTTGTAGATGGAAGGTTGATTTCACTAACTAAATATAGTTGAAAGATTTTTTTACTAAAAAAATAGTTGAAGAGATTTTTCAAGATCTGGATTTGAGAGAATTTTTTATTAAAGGCAACACATAATTACTATAGTGACAATAAAAGGCAAAACATAATTATTACACCTAAATAGTATTATTGTTTTGTTTCTACTGGATCGATAAAATAAAACTCTTTACATAGCAATTTATTTATACGCTTTGCATTTTGTGAAACTTTTTTTTTAATTTTAAATTTGGATTTAAAAAAGTTTTTTAGGTAAGGAGAATTAATACGCAAGGAAACTTCTTAAACATATGATTAAGATTTTGGTATGATTATAATAGTGGATATGGAGCAACGTTTCGTTTTATTTTTTGTTTTGTGAAATTGCAAGTAGAGATGAAATAAGATTTGAGAGAATGGTGAGTGGTGACCCCATTGGATTGATGGGCTTAGACGTAAGAGGCGAAAACGACATTGGACAATAACTTTTAAGTTTCATAAATAGAAGGATTAATTTGTTGAATAATTAAAAAAAAAATATATATATATCTAATAATCTAACCAAAAATCCTAGATTAAATGGCTAGAATGTTGTCACATAGGAGTTTTTGGTTAAATTATTAGATACAATTTTTTTCATGGTTATACAACCAAATTTCTCTAAATAGAATACAATTTTTTTTTATGATACAAAAAAAAAAAAGTAATTTTGTTAAATTGATTTGACAACAGATTGTCCAAATAATTGAATTATAACTATACTTGCTAGTAAATTCAGTACGGAGAACAATTAGTGCAAAACAAACATAACAACTACGGTTAGTTTGTTCAGGATGGTTTGTGCTAATTAATTTGAAGACGGATTGTGATTAGTATTAGTTCACATATGTCGTTTTTTATTTTATTTTACTTTTGGATTTTCCATAAATATCATAAGTAAGTTATATGAATTTCGCTGTTATTTTGAAGGGTCTCATGGTTCGACTTCAGTGTGTGACATTTGCTAAAAATAAAAATTGTATGAGGTTCGTTTGGCCTTCTTAGCACTTACTAGTCTTTAATTTTTTTGTTACCGTCCCATTTGCTAGTTGTCAAGATCGATCTTATGGTATCTATGGAATTTCTGATACACTTTATTTTTTTCATTTGGTTGAATCTGTTTAATTAATTAATTTTCATATGTTTCTCACGTATCTTGCGTTCACCAAACAATTATAATAGTATGTCGTCTCAAACTATTTGTATCCATATATTTTGATAGGGATAGAATACACATAACAATTTATATAGTTAAAATTACTATATATGAAGTGTAACTTAATACATATAATTTAAGTTGATAGGGATATAATACACAAAATAATTTATATAGTTAAAACCCTAATACATAAAAAATAAATTTTAAGAATTTGCATTCCATAGTAAAGATCTCACCCATGGTTAGGAGAATGACGAATTAAAACACTATTCATTGTACTATTCATCATTTTTAATCATATTATACTCTTATTAAACTTTTTCTTTGATTCATCTCTTTTTTGTTCGTCTATCTTCTTCCAATTGAACACTTTTCTCTCTCTCTYTCTTTCTGTTTTTTCTAGCAATGATTCCATCAACCATTGTTGTTGGATAATTAAAGACATTTGATTCGAACAACGGTGATTTTTGTTGGAGGAGACAGAAGAGGAAGAAGAGAGATGTAGCAGTTTATGGTTTTAAGTGTCGTCGCGGAACACTCTCTCGTTTATCTAATGTCAAATGTTAGCCGAATTTTACATGTTTATATGGTATAATAAATATTTAACGTGTTAATAAACTAACGTGTTATTGACATTACACAAGTGGGAGGAGCAAAAATTTTGTTTGTCTTTCACCTAATTTTCCTATCTCTTTTTTTTAAGAAAGAATCCTATCTATCTTTGTCATTCAATTAGTTGACTCTTAAGTTTTTAATATAATTGAAATAAAAAAAAGTGTGACCTTAACAAAAAATATTCGAAACTTTGGATATTAGATCAGGTAAAAGTTTAGACCAAAAAAAAAAACCAGGTGAAAGTTATCAACAAATTTTTTTTAACACTAAATTTTTA